AATGCGTTCTGACACGCCCTGAAAGCGTTTGCGCCCTGCGTTTTGCGCTCTGTGCATGGACCGTCAAAATAGAGCCCTAAATGTGAAGTTTCAGCTCAAAATACTTCTCAAATAATGTTTTGTAAGTTGCCCTTTTTAGGCTTTGATCCTAATTGTGTAATTTTGGTGACTGTCGCTTTAAATTTAAATTAGATTGTGCTCTTTTCAATCAAGGGTGGAGCTACAAATGCCTGTGTGTCAGCATAGTGGCAGATTCAAAAACAAGACTAACATCATTTGCTAACGAGGGAGAGATTAGCCCCTTTCACACATACAAACTTCAAAGGGATCATGTGTGAACAGGCACTTTTTAACAATACTGGCAATTTACCGAAAAGCGAAGTTGTAACGTTACCAGTAATTTTCCAGACTGCTGCTGTAACCAGGGGAGTGACAGACGACTGGGTTCAGGTCCACATGCAGGTTTATTCAGGATGTCAGGCAAGCAATGGTCAATACGGGTGCAAACAGATGTATAAAGACAACGCAGAATCGTGGTTGGAATAACAGGCGAGATGTAGGTAGGCATGGGGTAGACTGAGACAAAAAAACAACAAGGGTAGGGTCAAAACACAGGAAAAACAACACAAGAGAAACCCGTTTCCTTTGTTTGCCCTTGCTGTGTTTTTGATCCTTTGCCTTGTTTATTTGTTTCATCCTGTTTACTGCCTGCCTTATAACTAGACGTTTAACAAAGAAGTTTATGTCCTACAAGTCTTCGGATCCCAACAATTTTATTCTGTGTGGTCATGTGCAAGAAATAATGTGCTAAAAATAGAGGATCTGCCTAGCCGAAGACAAGGAAAAAAGACAGAGCTAAGCAAGGCCTGGGTAATCATCAACAAGCAAAACTGCTGCATTCTGACAGCGAACTACACCTGTACGGCAGGGTATGTGAACTTACACATAGAGGTAAAGTTGGCACATTCAGACTTTCTCCTTAATAATATAGTTTCAAATAAAGTATTATTTGCGAACTCTAAATAGCGGAGTCATATTAGCAGCCAATGACTATCAAAGTACAACATTGTTCCCTGTCAAATAAACAGTGTTAATGTTGTTTTCAAGTCACACTTGCAGGATTTTTTCAGACCGAATATTCAAAGTGCCGCGGTAAACAATATAGGGAGTGTGTCACAAGTTGTCACTGAATAAAACATGTGAATATAAAACCAACTTTACCTTAATAACTTTCTCGTTTCATTCTGAGCATTCAGTATCGCAGTTTAATTAACCACATGTAAATATTTTTGCTAAAATCGTTGCTGCAATCAAAAATGAGTAATGTTTATGATTCAGCATAGCGTGAACTTACCCGATATAACATGAGAACTGCAGAGTCAAGCATTTTTAATTAGGTCCTCACTTCATTCAGCTCCATTTTAGCCAAAGACTTCTGCGGTTAGCATTAAAGCAGAGTGGTGTACGATAAAAGTACAGTTTTCTATTTCGAATTTGGCATCCTACCGCACAACACGACATGTTTGCTATTGCAAGCTCTCTTTTTGCTCAAGGGAACCTGAGTGATGACGTGTGTATAAATGTGTAATTTACAATAATCCGGAATAAATATATTTTTAAGATATTTTTAGGGGCATTTTTGTCTTTATTTGATAGGACAAACGTCCATCAGTCGGATTTTGAACTCTCTAGATGAGTTCAGTGCTTAATTTTCCTGAATATTGATATATGTTTTTAATAACAATTGAGCAAATTCCTAATCTTTATGCTTTACCCGGCTATATTCAAATGGCAACTCACGAGCTGAAAAAGAGCCAGTGCTTTAGTTTTGAATTCTGCACAACCCCGGTTCCTGTCCAAACCACTGACCACACTATTGATAACATCGTGCTTTCAGCTTGAGTTACAGGAAGGCTAAGCAGGCTTAGTGAGATAAAGCAATAAGTGATGCATCTCTGCATTGTTTGTATCCTAACCAGAGCATTTTCACTTGCTTTGTCACGCACACATGCCACACTGTTCCTAATGGCGGTCTTCATCATGTTGTGTTGAATATTCAATGTGCATGGACAAATGAGTCAAAGTCAGCTTTATTATCAATTCTGCCACATTTACCCAGCAGCCACACAATGTCATCAGGCATCAATATTAGGGTACATTGAGGTTGTGACGTCAGGTGAACAAAATCCAATGTCAAGCCAACATCTTACAACAACATTATATTGACGTCAAAGACTGATATTTATTCGTCGGGTATGGCAACCAAAATCTAACGTCTGATAGGTATTGTAGTGGAAACGTTCACACACCTTCAAGCTGTAACATTATGAGATGTTGATGTTTGGTTGATTTTAGGTTGTGTTAGAAAGTGACCAAAATCCAACGTCGAGCCAACATCTTAAACCAACATCATATTGACGTCAAATACTGACATTTTTACGTCAGGTATGGCAACCAAAATACAATGTCAAATAGACATAATAGTGGTAAAGTCTACACAATGTCAAGCTGTAACATCATTAGAGGTTGATATTTGGTTTATTTTAGGTTGGACGTTGGGTTCTGACATCAAGCCAATTTTCATTTCAAACAAAATGCAATGTCCCCATGACGTTGGGGTGCAGCGTCAATCTGACGTCATGTTGAGGTTCTGTGCATGCTGGGTAGAGATATACAGACAATTGAAATTATGCTCTCAAAAACTGCGTTGCACACAAATAACAAAAACACACTACAAGAGAAATGTAAATATACAATACATTCAAATCATTTTTGTAAAATTAAGAGAGACAAATACAAAAAAACAGCCATTTTATATTAGGTGTCTTTAACTATTATGCACTTACATCAAAATACAAATACAATGTACTTAATGTGTTCATAATTTATTGCAGGACACTTCTAATGCTATTGAGATGGGATACAGGATGGGTTTGGGACCATGGTTTAAGGTGTAAGCTCATTCTGAAAATGTACCCCTATATACATTTCTGGAGATCGCCAAATACGTCCCAGGAGGTACATTTTTTTTTGACATTTTTGTTTTCGCAAATCCATCAGAGGCTGCTGTGTACGCTTTTTCAGATCTCAAATTTCTCATTTGCCATTCGCACCTGCTGTTCTCATGTAAATCCACCAGTGGCCGCTGTTGACTGACTGACTGACCAATAGACTGTCCCACCCTTCTCCTTTCCTAAACCCAACCAGTTTTCAAAAGCACAGATTGACCCGGCCACCCACCCAAACCAAACCAACAGTTTTAAAAAGCAATCCAGAAAAAGAATGTGATTTTTACCATGTTTTCACATTTCACCGCATTCTCCTGTTATTTAATTGTTTATTCGATTTTTTTCGGCTTCTGTTTTTGTCTTACCCACTTTCTGGAACCGTTCTTCATCAAACTCAAACACCGTCATCGTGGTTAACTTCTCTCTGTGTCTCAAATTCGCCGACGTACATGGTGAGCTACTTAGCAAACTGGTAACAGCAGAAACACTGTCCATACAGAGGTAAGCGGTCAGCTGGTAAGTGCGAGAAAGGAAGGGTGTCATACCACCCCTTATGTTTGTTTTAAAGATGAAATGCAGCCAAACATACTTAAGGCTACATAATTCACGATCTCCGGAAACATATATAGGGCTACGTTTTCAGAATGAGCTAGGGATATCTCACCAACATTAAAAAATGATTAATTAGTTTTACTAATTTTTTCAAAAGGTAAGTGCATACAAACAATTTATTTGGTCAGAATTTAACAAACAAATTAAATTGAACATTACTAAATTTAATTTGTTTAGATTCAGCCCATTTAAATTGTTTGCAACCACTTACCTTTTAAAAAACATGTAAAAATAATATTTTTTTTCAGTGAATGTAATTATAAAGTATAATTATATTCCAGATGTAATGACATGCAGGTGTTTAATCATGCAGAAACATGTATAAGCACATAATAAGTACATTGTAACGAATTATAATAATTTCAGTTGAAGTACAGATTAGTTAAGGCCACTTAATATAAAGTGCATCAATAAAACAATATAAATATGTGCACATGCTTGGTTGTTTCCCTTTGGTTAGGATAGGGATTTCGAGTTGTAAAATGCAAATGGATTTTTAAAAACCGTACTAAATCAAACGTCCCGGGAAATGATGTATGACGTGCGGTTCACCCATTGTTGTCGTCACAAAGCACAAATCGTCACGCCTCATTGTCTGTCAGTGCTGCCTCCCTATAAACGGGCAAAATGATTTCACATGATAATGACACTGTGGGTGCTTACAGTCTCTCTCGCTCCCTCACTCTTTTCTAAATAGATTCTCCCTCCAGTGCACAAGCAGTCGCGAGGTTGAAAATGCTTGGTAGGATTTAAAAAATGGACATCCGCTCGGAGCCCCTCTTATCAAGCGCTTGGCAGCGTTTGGTGTTAGTGTGCGGCGTGGGAGGCCAAAAGTGCGTGGGTGCGCTGCAGGGCCCATGCGCGAGTGGATCCATCAGTAATTTGCCGGCATGCGCTCTGCCATGCTGTCAGGTTAAATGTTGCACCACATGTGGCTTTGATACCTGAATAAATCAACCTAGAAATGTCCTTATTTTAATGAGCAACAAAAATAGTATTTCCATCTCCGTACCTAGCCACTAAGATGCACAGCACAGAGAATAGAGAAGGAGTGGGTGGATTTTACTGAACAGAGCTTGAATGGTTAACTCCACCCCTCCCCCTAACCCCCCCTTACACCTCCTTCCTGCTTGCTCTCATGCTATGACGCCTTAAGTCATCCAATCAGAAGCTCTGGGCTGCTCCCTCTGCAGCTTGACCCCGCCTCTCCTTCTGGCTGCATATATATCAGCGCTCATTCTGTCTGCTCGAGTCTTCAACATGCTCTTACAAAGCAGAGCACCGAGGCATTGATAAACTCAGCAAGATCTCTTCGTCTGCCTTGCCTGAATTGCTTTTGCATCTACAGTGCATTGCTTCTGTTGTGTCCCAGACCATAAAATGGGATGTACCACAGGCCATTTCACCTGTCAACCGCAGACAACGGCGGCTCCAACCTTGGAAAGCCAGTCACAAGAAGGAGGACCCAAAGTCCCAGAGGTCCTGTCATCTCTTGAGAGACTCTCGCAGGCTACGGGAGGGATGGAGAAGTCCTGGTACCGCTGCATCTTTCCTTTTGGGATCATCTCACTGGTGATTGGAGTTGCTGGAACGGGGGTGACATACACCTATAATGATCTCCCGCAGACTAAAGTGGTGTCTGTGATCCTGCTGATCGTGGGTCTTGTCTTGGTACTGATGGCCACGGCTTGCTGGACGGTCCACAAGAAGAAGCGCAGGAAAAAGAAGGAAGGGGGTTCCTTCAGCTCCGAACAGTGTCCGCTCTGAGAGCGCCTCAAAGCTGGATAAAACAGACCCTTTTCTTTTGAGGCGCACCGAGATCTTCAGGTATTTGAGGACAGGCTCCAATACGGCATTGAGGGTTCATCGGAGGGAGTCACACATGCAGTTTGCCGTCGCTCAGCAGGTGTCTGGTATCAAAACAACACAAACACACACACACACAGGACACTTAACACGAACTGCGAGCTGCTCCCGGAGCCACTGCTGCCGTCAGTGCCGCTGTCAGTCTCCTGCATTCCTGAAGAAGCGGGCCAGCAATCGGACACCGCCACGAAAGAGGAGTTCACCTCCGTCACTGTCGCACGTCATTCACCCGTCCCAGTGACACCGTAGCAATGTGGGAGCTTTTTTACCCCGAGTGGAACTTGAACCTGCGTCTGCTGGCTTCAACCGGCAGCTGCGGATCAGGATGGGAGGGAAAAAGCGCGGACTGGAGAGGTCGAGAATGCATCTGAGTGTGTGTGTGTATGTGTGTGTGTGTGTGTGTGCTGGTTTTGGTGGTTTACAAGGACATACATTTTATTATGATGTGGGGGAGTTTTACCTTAAAGCAAACAAAATAATCTTGCTTATTTTCATTTTGACATAATATATCGCATATTTTTCATTTTGCCGTCAGATTATTTTGGTTGTTTTAAAGAAAAGCTCTCTTGATTTTGACTTATGGTATGGTATGACCTAGATATTACAACATTGTTTGGTACTACCTAGGTATGACAACACGTTTGCTCACCCCATTGGCAGCTTATTTTGCTTGTTTGAAGGAAAAGCTCACTTGATTTTGACTCATGGTATGGTATGACCTAGGTATACCAACATTATTTGGTATTACCTAGGCATAACAATACATTTGCTTACTCCATTAGCAGATTATTTTGCTTGTTTTAAGGAAAAAACTCACTTCATTTTGACTTGCGACCGAGATATTACAACACTGAGGTTGATTATGAGGTCCTCGCATTATAAAATGCTTAAAAATCATACTTAATGGGGTCTTTTGACATTCAACAGACAGCCACAGTTCTCCTGTAAGGTTAAGCGGTAGTGTTTTTTACATTATAAAACAAATTACGCCTATGGAGAATCCTCCTAATCCACCAAATACCAGCTTGTGTGTGTGTGGGATGGATGGAATAGAGAGACAAAACACCTGTTCAGCCTCTTACGCTGTCAACTCTCTGTCAATCGTAGCCTCTAATGATTTAGGACAAGGGTGCAGCACCTGGGGTCTCATTTATATACATGGAATACGCTTAAAAAAATTACCTAAAAAGAAAAAGAAACCAAATTTGAAAATTTATACTCTTAATTTACCAATAAATATTGACTTCACTGAGTCACTTTAAATGATCGTATGAGAGATGAATAAATAAATGAACATTTATTCTGGCGTACGTTTACTTTTACACTCAAAAATAGTATGTTTGCTGCTTGTTCAAGCTGAAATGAGCTGAAACAACACAATTCTTAAGGTTTTTTGGGGACAACTTAATAGTTTTATGTTCAAACTACTTAGATTTGTTGCTTTAGCTTAATCGATGTGTTGGGACAACAGGAATTACAGTGTTGGAAGGTTTTTACACTTAAAAAAATGCCTGGTCTCAACACAAATGGTTTAAGTACCAGTTTAAGTAGATTGAACATAAAACAATTAAGTTGTCCCCAAAATAACCTTAAGAATTGGGTTGTTTCAGCTCATTTTAAATAAGTAGTTTGAACAAGCAGGACAAAAAAAAAACATTGAGTGAATACACTAAGTTTTTATAAATGAGACCCCTGATATTGAGGACATAAAACTCTTTTTATACTTTTTAACTCTGCGCTTACGCAGTGTAGAGAGTTTTGCATTGGAGAGTGTGTGTGTGACTTCTTGAGAAGTCCAAATTCTGGACCCTTCAAGGAGCTCATATAGTCGGTATTTGGAAAATCAACCACAGAGGAATGTTATAATGACACTGTTTAAAAAAAGGCGAGCAAGCCGAGGGGCCTTTTGTTCTGAGACAGCCTGAAAAGAAAATTCATTTCCTGTCTGACAGATTACAGGATTACTAGGGGGAGAAAAAAAAACGCTACAAAGGGTACATGAGAAGTCAAAAGTGTCAGTTTTGCTTTTGTTCCAGTGCCTTGATAGCATGGTACAGTACCTGAGCTCTGTTTTAGCCCTCTGTCTCTTCTTTTTTTTTTTTTCCTTTTCCAGTGTCAGCTTTAAAACTCAAACTCAGCTATTTTGGCAAGTCACCCCCCCCCCCCCCCTTAAAAAAAAAAAAAAAAAAGAAACGTAAATATGTCGTCGTTTTGACCTGGTCAGTGTCCACAAAGGCTGGAACTTACATCCGTTTTCACAATGGGAATACTGCTTATTTACACTGCCTTGATCTGGGAAGCGTTTGGCACGTTTTGTTATGGATACAATGGGTGGGTAGCAGATGGTCAATTAAAGGCACAGTGCACCTAAAAATGAAAGTTCTGTCATCATTTTACTCAAGCCATATACTTAAAAGTGATGTATGGCTGCATATATGAGCATATATTTATCTACGATTATTGCTAAAATATATGATGATATATTTTTATATGCGATATTGCGAAATTATAGCTAATATATTTGTAATAAATATAACATAAATATTATATATGTGGGACTAAAGTTATATTTTCAGAACAGCCTCTGATTTAACTTTTAGCACTTTTGGATTCTCTTTGAATACGAAGTGTGTTATAAATCAAATGTATTACTGTTATTATTATATGTGAAATATAAAAATCTGAACTTCTATGTCAGATCTGAAATTGCATATATATTGCTGTATGATTTCTACACTAAAATAATAGTTTTTGTCTTATTTCTAGTCTGAATATCTAAAACTCCTTAAATCAAGAAGCTTTTTCTAGACGAGCAAAATATATTCTCTTGTTTTCAGAAATAATTTGCCAAATTTAAGTGAGATTTTCCTTTAAACAAGCTAAATAATCTACCAATGGCATAAGCAAAATAATCTTGTTATTCATTTTGACATTCTGATTAATTTGCGTACCACATTGGCAGATTATTTTCTTGTTTTAAGGAAAAAACAAGCAGAAGTTTGACTTATTGTGTCTTAAAACAAGACAATACTTTTTGCTTGTCAAGAAAATGCTTCTTGATTTAAGTCATTTTAGGTATTTGGACTAGAAACAAGACAAAACATCTAAGAAACAAAAGCTTTTATGCAGTGTAAATGGGAACTTCATGCTGTTACAAACATGTATCTCTGACTTGCTTATCATTGCAAAGCTCAGTAGGCTCCAAAATAGCACTAATGAAAAAAAAGCTAAATCTTTTATATGTTCCACAGCCAAAGGAAAGCAATTTGACACAACACGTGAGCAAATGATGACAGAATTTTCCTTTCTGGGAAAGTTTATCTTTCAGAGGTCTCGTAAATCCTTTGAACACTCAGAAACACTCTCCGTACAGTGCAATTTGAAGAGGGACAAAAAAAAAAAAACTATTCATACCAATTTAAAGGTTAATACCCATTTCTTTTTACATTAGGCGTATTGATTGAGATGTTTTGAGTGGATTTAAAGGCTCCATGTGCAAAAGAGAGAGAATTAAGAACCCTGAGTACTTGAGTACTACTTTTGAAGCATTTAGTGGTTATGTGCTGACCTCAGTTGAACCCAGAGGACAGTTTATTGCGCTTTCATAGCGTTCCTCAGTTGTGCTTAAGTATTAAAGGAACACTACACTTTTTAGAGTTAAAATATAAACAAACAAACAAACAGTAAACAATGAACCAATAGTTAAACAGTTGAGTTTTAACATTTTTGAATCCATCCAGCTGTTCTCCCGGTCTGGCAAGAGCACTTTTAGGTTAGCTTAGCATACATAATTGAATCGGATTAGACCATTAGCATCTCACTTTTAAAAAAATGTAAAAGTTGGTTTGATCATTTTCCTGTTTAAAGCTTGACTCTTCTGTAGTTGTACATGAAGTCTGTCTATTTGTTGGCCTGTTGCAATATCATTACGACTGCTTCAGCCATGATAAGTTCCTTGATTATTACGCCAGAATAAGATTATAGTTTCTAGCTATATCGGCCTAGAAAATAGCAACTTTTCATTTTCAGTCTAAAGTACATGATGTAATGACAGAAGAGCAAAGCCTTAATTAGAAAAATTACTGAAACTCTGGTAGTCAATTTTTGAGAATGCTAATGGTCTAATGTGATTCAATAATATATGCTAAGCTAAGCTAAAAGAGTCAAAGATACCCAATTTCTTTTTACATAAAGCTTATCAATCGAGATGTTTTGAGCAAGGAGTGGATTTGCGGATACACTTGCAAAACATAAAAATTAACAACCTTGAGTACTTGGAAAAAAAGCTATTTTTGAAGTGGTTAGTGGTTAGCATATGTTAGCATATCGAACCCAGATGCAGATTTTATTGCTCTTTCATTGCGTTCCTCGGTTGTGTTTAAAAAACACACCACTTTTTACTCATTTTACAACTCTCCTACAGTTTAAACAGTTGAGTTGTAACATTTTTGAATCTATTCAGCTGCTCTTCAGGTCTGGCGAAAGCACTTTTAGCTTAGCATAAATCATTGAATCGGATTAGACCATTAGCATCTAATTTTTTAAAAATTCAAAAAAGAGTTTTGATAGCTTTTCTATTTAAATCTTAACTCTTCTGTAGATATACATGGAGACTATCTATTTGTTAGCCTGTTTTCAGAAGCTGCATAGTATTTTTACGCCATGATACGGCAGCAAATTTCCTTGATTTTTACGCCAGAATAACCATATAATTCCTAGCTTTTTTTTTTCGGCCTATAAAATAGCAACTTTACGACTTTTGCTGACGATCTAACCTGTTGTAAATACAGAAGAGTCAAGCTTTCAGTAGAAAAATTATTGAAACTCTTTTATTGTCAATTTTTGAGAATGATGCTAATGGTCTAATCCGGTTCAATGATCTATGCTAAGCTAAGCTAAAA